CTGTCGGAGGTTCCTCAACCGATAAAGGGTCGAGGGTTTTAGACGCCATCTTAGAAACTGTTGGTTAAAAGCTGCTGTTAGCTTTACCGCCGCGGCAGTTACCATAGCAACAATGGTGCCTTCAGGAGCAGTGGGACGTCAGACAAACATGTAATAAACAATTAAAAGTGTGAAACAAGCTTTAATTTTAGCTTTCCCCTCTTTTCTCCTTCATTTCTCAGCAACACTGATGGAGGCCAACACTAACATGCTGAACATATTTCCCCCTGGATCAATAAAGTATATCTGTCTGTCTGTCTGTCTGTCTATCTGTCTGTCTGTCTGTCTATCTATCTATCTGTCTGTCTTTCTGTCCTTCTGTCTATCTATCTGTCTTTCTGTCCGTCTGTCTGTCTGTCTGTCTGTCTTTCTGTCCATCTGTCTGTCTGTCTCTCTGTCTATCTGTCTGTCTATCTATCTATCTATCTGTCTGTCTTTCTGTCCTTCTGTCTATCTATCTGTCTTTCTGTCCGTCTGTCTGTCTGTCTGTCTTTCTGTCCATCTATCTAACTGTCTGTCTATCTGTCTGTCTTTCTGTCCGTCTGTCTATCTATCTATCTATCTATCTATCTATCTGTCTGTCTGTCTGTCTGTCTGTCTGTCTGTCTATCTAACTGTCTGTCTATCTGTCTGTCTTTCTGTCCATCTGTCTGTCTTTCTGTCTATCTGTCTGTCTGTCTGTCTATCTATCTGTCTGTCTTTCTGTCCGTCTGTCTGTCTTTCTGTCCGTCTGTCTGTCTGTCTGTCTGTCTATCTATCTATCTATCTATCTATCTATCTATCTATCTATCTATCTGTCTGTCTGTCTGTCTGTCTGTCTAGAAAACTTTAGATTTTGATTAAGAACACGTGGACATACAAATGATGTTGTATTAGTCTGTAATCAGTGACCATGGTATAAGACTGAGACTGACTCTGTGTGTCTGTCTGTGTGTCTGTCTGTGTGTCTGTCTGTCTAGATGGTATAAGACTGATAATGTCCTTCGAGGTGTCCATTATCTTCAACAGTCAGTCCATTTTTGCTGTTGCACATTAGTTTGAGACAGAGACACATTAGACAGAGTTAGTTTGTGTTTAATCAGATTACCAGGCAGCAAACCGAAAGTAAGACTCCAGCATAATGCACGTTGCACAGAGCGTGGTAGTACCGGATGGTGGATCCGGAATAACCTGCAGTTCAGTCGTTGGCCTCTAGAGTCCGGCTCAGTGACTCTGTGAGGTCTGAAAATAACATGTGCACCAAAACAAACAGCCGATCGTGTCACAGTCTGTATTTGGGCAGTTCTCAGAAATGCGGCACACTGGATTCTTGGAGCCGGCCGGCTGACTGAAGACATGACGCTTTCTGTCGCTGCCAGCCTGCTCTTGGCTCATAGACGGTGTGCTGTAATAGGCTTTTGTTCACAGCAAGCTGGAGGCATGTTTGGCACGCCGAGCTGCAATCGGACCCAGCTTGAGTAATTGCAGTCAGCTTCTCCCAGTTAGGATTCCTTCAATGTTCATGGTTCATTCTTGTGGTGACCCCCAAGGATCTATCCTAGGACCCCTGCTCTTCATCTTATACATGCTGCCACTGGGTCGTGTCATCAGCCGACACGGCATCTCTTTTCACTGTTATGCTGATGACACTCAGTTATACCTGCGAACCAACCCCAACCTATGCTCTACCCCGGTCCCTTCATCATCATCTGCTCCCTCTTCACCATCATCTCTAGCCCTCTCCAACTGCCTGGAGGAGATGAGGGCGTGGATGAGTCACAACTTCCTCCAGCTGAACAGCTCTAAAACTGAAGCCATACAAATTGGCACCCTCATCAGGTCCAGTCATCACCCATAACCACCATCTCGTTCTCCGGTCAAGTACAGTTTATTAGAAGCTAATATATGGCCACCGAAGAGGAGTGCCTGTGTTGCACGGAGTGGGACCTGTTGCGTCGCGACACCCAAGAGACGCAGTGTTTTGTACAGTGTGAAGATTTCCCCTCTCTGATTAACAGAGCTGCACTCGAAACTTTTTTCCATGTCCCGAAAATAAATTGGAGGCAGCGAGTCATACCGGAGGGACCAGATGGACAGTTATCCACTGAGTAACTAGACGAGTTGTGTTTTACATCGGTGCGATTATTTCTGATATATTGAGCAAATTACATTTGTTTTAGTTCACATCGCCAGCTGGAAGTCTTTATCATTGATCTGCATGAATGACCGAACCCCTGACTGTTCCCAAGATGGCGCCCGCCTGTATACGAGAACTACTGTTGTTCTAAACTATCTTTTTAATAAACTGTTTGTACACTTACAAAGTTCTCAATGCTTTGGTTTACAGGTAGGGGCCCTCATTATGCTACCGTGTAAGTGTGGTGCTATTTTGAGTCTTGTTTGTGGAATAGAAATAGATTTCTCTTCACGTTACTCGGTGCCCTGTTGACTAGCGTTATAAGCTAATTAGCGGTTTGTGCTAAAACCGGTCACGGTTGATTCGCATGAAAACATATCCCAGAGACCGGACCAACTCGGTACACGTGTTATTAACCCCAGGGTCATTTTGAGCCGGAATTGTCCTTTAACAAGCTAGTCACTGGACAATGAATGAAAACATTTAACCAAGATGGCGTCCCGCATGGCATGAATAAGCCAACTACGGTGTCACGTAAGGGACAAACTTCAACATTTGCAGTATTCACAGAAGAATGGAGGGCGCAACAGTGTCACCCTGTGGAGTATTTAGGCTACTACCTTACATTTCCATAATTTTAAAGGTTTTAGATTTGCCTGCTCTGTATATAAAAGTCTCCAAGGTGCTGCCCCACCACCGCTGATTGACTTCATAAAGAAAAGGACTCTGGGAGGTATGAGCACCAGGGCTTGTGATAGAGGAGACTGTGAGATTCCCCACAGGCGTACCGCGTATGGGAGGAACGTGCTGTCTATTGTGCTGTCTATTCCCACAATAAGGGAATGCCCCCGCATACCCTTCTTTTAAAGGACAACTAAAACAATGGCTCAAATCCAATCACAAGTGCGACCACTAACTGGACGTGACACTAATTGAACATTACTTTTTAATGTATTGTTATATCCTGTCTGGGTCTGGTATTTTTATGATTGTGTATAGAGTTGTTCCGATTCCAATACCAGTATCGGGAATGCCTCCGATACTGCCGAAAATGCTGGCATCGGTATCAGTGAGTACTGGAGTCCAGGCACCGATCCGATACCACGTAATTTATTAGAAATAGGAATCCATTTACTGGTTAGCTCTGTTAGCTCCATTCAGGGGCACCGCCAGGAATTTTGGGCCCCATGACAAAAAAATCAAATTGGGCCCCCTGTGTGCAGCTGTTGTCACCACATCTCTAGGACCTAACTGTCCCATCAAAAGCTTTACATAACTCTAATTAAAGGCTTGCAACTGTCTTGCTTCTTGTAGTTCAATACTAGTACTAGCACAATATTTACTGCTGGTGATTTGTACATGCATGCAGTCTGCATACAGTATGCAGTTCACTATTTGATAAAAGATTAAAAGCAACCATAAAAATGTGCTAAAGGCCATCTTTTACAGTCTCACTGTATTTTTATTGTAACATTTCAACATAGAAAATTATCTTAATGATATTAATTATGAATTATTATTATGAATTATTATTATAATAAAGTCTGTATCTATAGATGTCATTCCATAATTCAATCTAAATGAACGTATCAAACTGGATTATTTTAATATTGTCTGTATCATGCAGGCTCAGGTAAGCTACTCACTGTTTCCAACTGTCCAGCATCCAGTACAGACAGTAGGTTGTTGTTCTTTTATTTTATTTCATAATGATCATTATGTGAGAAAATAATTGTTATTAATGTGTTTGAATTTCTGTCATTAATAAATATTTCATTTTCCTTTTTGTAATGGTAAAAAGAGCAAGAGAGACAGAGAAATCCCCACAGACTCCCTGCAATGATGCTAACTGGCCTGTCATTGAACACAATGTTGCTCACCTTCACTGAGACAGGGAGGGGTACAGTGATGGGGAGACAGGGAGGGGTACAGTGATGGGGGGGACAGGGAGGGTACAGTGATGGGGGGACTGGGAGGGTACAGTGATGGGGAGACTGGGAGGGGTACAGGGGGGGTGCAGTGATGGGGGACAGGGAGGGGGACAGGGATGGGGGACAGGGAGGGGTACAGTGATGGGGAGACAGGGAGGGGTACAGTGATGGGGAGACAGGGAGGGGTACAGTGATGGGGGGGACAGGGAGGGGTGCAGTGATGGGGAGACAGGGAGGGGTACAGTGATGGGGGGACAGGGAGGGTACAGTGATGGGGAGACTGGGAGGGGTACAGTGATGGGGAGACTGGGAGGGTACAGAGACTGGGGTGCTGCTGACTCATCTGTTGTTAAGTCTGCTAAAAGGGGCAGGGACAATGATTTAATATGAATATGTTGCTAAACGTTTCCCTGAACTGATTAATGGTGATTAAATGTAGGCTGACACTAGTCTGTAGCTGTATCTTATTTCACTATGGACATTAAGCCAACAGGTTAATAGCACTCACAGACTATAGGCTCCTTTCTTGGTGAAACACTGGGTTACAGAGTGACATCCTTTCCTTTGTCTTTCCTCTCTCTCTTTTCTCTCTTTCCTTTATGGAAAACCAGATGTTGATTTACTAGTTAACATTGTGATCACTGTAGTTCTGGCCCATCTACTGACTGCAATAAACACAGTCACTGATAAGTGCTCTAAAGCAGGACCAAACCATTTCATGCAGATACAGGGGGGTGGTCGGTCAATATGGATGTTTACTTTTTGGTCAATGGGGATATTTAACTTTTTGAGATCAATCAATAGCTTTTAGAGTAGATTAGATTCCAAGAACAAGCCTGTGTGTGGTCATGTGATTTCAGAGAATTCGATTTTCAATCGAAAGTGAGAGTAGATTCAAGTTTCATTTTGAGACT